ATAGAAATTATATATAGGTACTTGACAACAGAAAATATTTTACAGTTTAGGTGGTATGTTGGAACGTACTTCAATTTTATAATTGAACTTTCGTAACCTTCGGCAATTGAAGTACGTTCCAACATACCACCTAAACTGTAAAATATTTTCTGTTGTCAAGTACCTATATATAATTTCTATACTTACAGTTGATAATCATACCCGAAGAAATGCCGAAGTGCCAATATGGCAATTTTTCTCTTGGCTAACTTCTTCGTAGATGCTGTAAAATATAAATTAATAGCATAAGTAAGTAAGTAACTAATTTTTTTAGAAACAATTTTTAAGATGAATAGGTACTCATTAATCCAGCCAATTAATTTTGTTTTATATATCAAAAAAGTATAAAAATATAAAAAAGTTTTTTTATTAAAAACTGCACAACATTTAACATGTACGAGACACGAGTCAATGGGGGGGGGGGGGGGGGGGGTCCGGACTTTGTACAAACAAACAAATGAATTGACAGTGATTGTAAAACCGTAATGAATACATAAAACCGTGTTTAGAATAATTAGTTAAAACTGCAATAGTTAAGTTACAATGATGAACGTACATAACATTATATTTTTTTATATACAGACATGTAATTAGTAAGAAATGCAATTGTTAAATTATAATTATGTACATGACATACTTTTTTTTAAAGAAACAATTAATTAGGTAAAAATACAATAATTAAAATACAACGATGAAGGTACATGACATAATATTATAATGGTATAAAAATTTAGTAGTAAAAATATTCATACAGTAAAGTAATATTATTAAAATTTAAAAAAACCAGTAACTATAATTTGTAAAATAACGTAAGAAAATCGAAAAAAAAACATGTTTACCCACGTAAATACATATTATATTATTATAATACATAAATAATGAAATATGGTAGATTAATTAAAAAAAATTGAACGTTCATACACAAAGTAAAGTTAAAATAATAATAGTAAAGAGAAAAGATCGGAAATTTGTAAAATTACGGAAAAAAAATGAAAAAAAGTCAGGATTCGGGCGGCCGTGTTAACCATATGGCATTGACGACGGATTCGAACCTAGGACCTACTTGTTGCCTACCTAACGCCTAACCTACTCGCACACAATTTTAGATATTCACGCAAAACAGTCAAAACCAGTGGCGTAAATTGGGTCCAATTTCTGGTGGTGCAGAGGCATATTCTTAACCTATAATTTCCAACACAAAAATAATCCAACTTTCTAAGTAAAATCCTTCCTAACAAAAAAAAACTATATATTTATCCATACATTTTGTCAACATTTGAACTTCAAAAAATGCTTATAAAAAAAAATTGTGGCTATGTATTTTTAATATTTTTCAACGCTATTGTAACAATATATCAGGAGCCTTCCATTAAATTTTCACGCTTTTTACCCAACAAATAAAATTTTATTGATATTTATAGAAAAAAAAACTAAAAAAATTAAAAAATGACAATGTCCGGAAACAGCTCAAAGAGAGTTAAAATATTTTCAAAACTTTGTGGTGTATAGAAAATTAAAATATAAATATATAAATTTTCATGTATTTACAGTTATTTGTTTGAATAACAACAAATTAACAAAATCGCTACATGAGAAATCTAGTGAATATCCAATCTTGTAAAAATATGATTTTCAAATGCTCATAAAAATTTAATTTGATTTACTTGTGGACATTTTTTTTTTTTGATAAAGGCGTATACAAACTTATGAATAATCTTGTATTACATTTTAAAATCTTAGATTTGAAAAGAAACATTTTTATGATTTTTTCAACTCAAATTATATTGTTAATTTTCGTGATTTTTCTGTATTTTGTCAAGATTTGAACTTTAAATGCTTATAAAAAAAACTGTGACTAAGGATTTTTAATAATTTTCTAATGTCATTGTAACAATATAGTTGGAGCCTTTTATTAAATTTCCAAGCTTTTTTACCCAACCAGTGAATATTTCAATTATATATGTAAATGTTCATTTGTTTGGTCAAAAACCAAAATCGATTTTGTCGAAAACCGATTTCCGGTAAAAATTCCTGTTTTTCCTTAATTTTTATGTTGTTTTTCCTGGCGCTTATGAAACCTGAAGAGAATTTTAAAATTTGATTCAATACGACGTCTAGCTATCATCTGACATTTGACTTTTGAGAATTGAATGAACATTGATCCAGTGATAACACACTATTTTGGCGGTAGAATGTTGATAGCAATATAATTTTACCATATTATACCACAGAACAATTATACGTCTATTCTATAAAAAATGTATAAAATGTTCAACTTTTATATCTAAGGATTGAAAACTTACAACAAGGTTCCACGTAAGTAGGTTATTCTGTAATAAAAAATTTCAGAAATATAAAACCATAGTTATTTTATGTTCAAATTTTGAGGAAATTACATATTAAATAACCAAGAATATGGATTTTAGTTATTTTGTTGTAATTTTTTTATATTAATTCAACTTACCGTCTACCGTTTTAATAATAACTAATAACAATATAAATATAATATAAAATATCCACACAGACAATTGACAATAAGTAATAACCATCACCGCTCAGAATCATTTTTCGAATTAAAAGTTAATACCATTATACAGTGACTCTCTTGTAATCTACTATACAGCAGAGCGACATCCACTTACCCGCCTTTTTTCCTTAGTTTTTTTTAGTTTTTACTAAAATTAAGTTTACTTTTGAAAATTACTCGGAATTTTTTATTTGTATCCCCCCCCCCCCAAAAAAAAATAAATACAAACTAGATTCACTTTCCTATCAAAAAAAAAAAAATGCTCAAGTAGAAAATTTGGATAGGTATCAACATTGTTTTGCTCTCAGAATTTTAAAAAATAACTTAAATAAGTAAAATAATCTAGAAGCTACTAATGAACATGTGTTATTAACTTCAAGTGTTTTAAGAAATGTAGTGTACTTTTTTATGTCTTATAAAATATTGGGTGGGTGGGGTGGTTAGAATAAAATCTTTGCTCCTTATATGAAAATCGTTCACCATGCCACTGCATAGATGTATAATAGTGTACTTTACAAGTTTCAAGTACCCACGAATGATATTATACAATCACAACAAAATAACTAAAATAGTTATTCTAGGTTTTTTATTATGTAATTTCGTCCAAATTTAAAATTAAAATGACTATAAAAATAAACTGTGATTATGTATTTTTTAGATTTTTTGGTAACAGAATTAACTACTTACGTTTAATCTTGTTTTAAATTTCCAATCCTTAGATATAAAAGTTGAACATTTTATACATTTTTAACTACAAAATAATTGTTCAATTTTAAATTTGATAAATTTTGTCAAAATTCGATCTTTAAATGCTTATAAAAAAAAAAATTGCGGAAAATTTGAAAAATCGCGACCAGGCCCCTTAATTTAATCCTTTGAGCACGACACCAAGACCGACAATCGCTGGCTCGCGGTTTTCGTGACTCGCGAGCGAAAAAATTCAAACCGAGCCGCTCAGCTCACCGTTTACACACGCGAGCCGCTCAGTGCTCACTCGTGCACGTGCTCATGTGTAAGCGCAGCTTTGGACAGCTACATATAACACATAGGGAAATGTGTTATTTTATAATATATACACCAAACTGGACATCGGTTGAAAATATATTTTACGATCATGATTTTTGGTCATCGAAAATGGTGGATAAATTAAAACAGTGAGTTTGCTCATTTTATTTAGATTAATAAGTTGTAATTTTATTTATACTTTAAATATTTTTTTCTAGTTTTTATTTAAACTGTTTACTACCTCGAAATCGATCCAGTTTTTAAACACCGTTTAATGATATCCGACATACGAGAACCAAATAAATCCGAAGCAGTAAAATCGACAGTTAAAACAAAATTGTTTTAATTTGTTATACATATATTTGTTATATATTTTTAAATAAAAATTAATATGTTTGTATTTCAAAAGAATTGACAAATGATTTACCAATAGATAATATTTACAACAAAACTACCTATTATAAAAATTGTAGATGAGAACTTTTTTAACAATCGTAAGGAATCCGATTTTTGATATCGTATTCTTATTATCCAATATCACATGGTAAACTAACACGGTTTTGAAATATTTATCGATTAATTATTTAACTAATTAATAAAAATATCGAAAATCGGGCTTGCTTATTACGATTGTTAAAATAAAATATTGCATTATAAATTTATTACCTCTTCCTTCAAATAGTATGCCATATATTGTGCACGTTACCAAAATGTCTGCAGGGGGATTTGAAATAACCGTTACCGTATATTGCAGACCCGGTATAAGTTCATGCAATAGTTGCACCGGGTTGTACCGGTTAATTTCTAACGGCAATTTTTTCTTCGTCTAAAATAAAAGGGATTAAGTTGTACAGTTATAATATACTAAAATTGTAATTATTGTAATATAATATATATATATATATTATTATGTATACTATATGCTCTAATGAATAAAATACATAACATTAAATTAAATATTATTGAATTTATAATAAAAATACTTGTGGAATAGACAACCATCTTTATCCCCAAAATATATTTTTTTAAAGAGTCCAATGGCTTAAAAAAAAAAATTATTTAAGTATGTAGATTGTAGGTATATAAGGGTAAATTATTATTAATAATTATAAAATGAAATTGTTCTCAATTTTATATCACTAAGGGCCAGTTGTACAGTCTACGATTAAACTATGATTAAGCTTAATCAGCTGATAACAGATATTTAAACGGGCAAATTCGGCCGATTAAACTCTGATTAACCATAATCATAGACGGTATAGTATGATATAGCACAACCCAGATTAAATGTTTCATGTATTTTTTATTATAATTATGTAAAAATTATTATTGTTTGTTAATGAAAAACAAATAAACCGTTAAAATTAATAAAAATTAAAAATGCGTTTGTTTAATTTCGCAATTTTTATCAATAGAAAATCTATCTCTGTTAACTTACTTCTGGCGTGTTTATATCATCAATAGAGTGAATTAGTGTTTTACCATCCGATAGATCAAAGTTTCTACCAGCTTTTTTCTCTAATGGTTTTTCCAAAATCTTTTGTAACATTTCTAGTAAGGATAAATTATAATATTAAGACTCATAATAAAGTGTATGATTATGTGTGCTTTAAGAAATTAGTTTTTGAAAATATTATCGTTAATATTATTGAACAATTGTAGCAGTATAAATGAGTACAAATTTAGGTTTTTAGTTTTTAAATACCACTTACCAGATATTGGGTATAAATTAAGCGGTACATTTTCAACAGCAAATGATTTGCCATTATCATTGGCCGGAGACAACATATATCTTATAATAGTTGTGTCTATTGTGTTTACGAGAGTTTGCTGTAAATAATTATAATTTATAATTAGTAAATATAGTTGATTAATATCAAAAAAGCCAAGATTCAGAAACATAAAATATATTTTTAACTCATAATACATTTACTATAATATAATACATATATACTCAACTATATTAATTAATTCAAAATATGTAGGTATAATGAAAATAAAATCAAATTATTACTTGTAGACGTGTATCTGGGTTAAACTCGAAAGACGATACCAGATCTTCTAACCAAGGAAAAAACTGTTCTGGGTCGATGAAATAATTGAACACACTTCCTGATGATGAGATTTTAATCGTTTTAAAATCTGTTAACCACCATTTGGAAAATTCAACTCGCCAATCAATCAACTATATGTAAATTACCAATTTAGCATAATGATCACAAAGACACAAGATATTATTACTATTATAAATGTGTAAAGTATAATATAATATATTAAATAGCTAGCAGCTAGCTATATTAAGAAATAATACTAATTATAGGCACCTGATCTTTAAATAAGGCTGAACCAAAAGCCCAAAGACAAGTGTACACAAAATATGTTCCGTACACATCTCTAGCATTTTCCAGCGGACAATTGATGGGAGTCGAAAGACAATCGAGTAACGTACACAACATTTGTTTGTTCATTACGTTCATACGTTCATTATTCACCAACGTCAACACCTGTAATGTATATATTATATCAAAAGATTTCGTTTAAGTGTGGTAATGTACGCACATATTTTATTATTCATAGCATGTCTAACCTATATAATCATCATGAATGACCAAAAGTATTATTCTTACCTTATTGTCGTACAGCACTGTGTTTAATGACTCAATCCACATAGGATATAATATGGCACCGTCCATTACCATCTGTTCGGATCCATAAACAGACATTTGTGATTGATCTCTAATCAGGTCCGGAACTGGTTCTATCCGAATATACAATATTACTACAACCCCGTGCAAAAATTATATTGATCAAACTCTTACCGTCTACAAATTCTGTAGTAGTCGGATTAATGACGCCAAACAACTCGTCATTGGTTACTGCATTCGGTTCAATTTCATTGAAATACGGTTTAAATTTCAGGTTTGCATAAGTTCTATACAGAGTTTTCCACATTTCACTCGTGGACGGTATAGTCGGCGAAATTGGGTCTATGTAGTATAATATAAATTACAAATGATTATTTATAATATTATGATTAAAAAACAAATAATTAAATCAGTATTTACACTAAACTTACTTTGGACTAATAGGCCATCAATAACACGGGTCAGCCCAAATAAAATAGCCTCCCGTGCTACTTCGGATAGAAATGCAATTAACATATTCTCTGTAAATCAAAAAATTAAAACAAATTAATATACACCACATTATATTTATCATTAAGTACCTACCTATAATTTTCTTACGAAAATACGAGCGAAAATCAAATATATTTTGAGACTTATAAACAATAAGTGTTTGTTGCTATGAGATTACAAAATATATCATAATTATGTATATGTATAAAATAAATATGTTTAAAAAAAAAGGCCAGACATGGCCATATCATAAATTTGTCAATTTAAAATATTTTTATATTGTTATTATTAACACGGTTAGTCGGTAGGTACGTTGAATTAATATTATTTGTGACTAATAATATACTTTAGAAATTTCAAGAAACCACGAATAATATTTTTAACTTTGTAAGGATTTGGGCTTTTTAGTTCTACAAAACTACCCATGAGGAAGGGGAACACTTTCATCATGACCTGTGAGCCGCACCGCGTGTGACCCGAGGGTCAAGTCGGTGGAACTCACGGGTTTTGATACACGCCTCAACAAATGAATGTTGAAGATTTATGTTGGGGTAAAGAAAATAATATTAATTAACAAATCAAGACAATAATGAGTTTAGGGTTATTATGTGGGTGTATTTTACATGGTTATATAACATAATTATACTTTGGCAAGTTACAAACAGTAAAATAAAATAATTTGGACACATGGCAGTGTCAAAAAAAATTAAAATATAATAGGTAGTTTGAGCACATGGCAAGTGTGGGAAGGAGAATAATAATAATTAATAATAGTAAAACCCGTCGCAAGACATATTAATAATTTGTTTTAGCTTTAATTTTTGTTACTCATGATAATAGTAAAGTTGAACTCCAGGCCCACCACATTACTCGTGGGGGCACTCGCAGAGTTAGCGGGAGTGTACGAACGATGTGCAAGTTTTCAATAGTGTGGCCGGGTGGCGCTACGCTTGCGACAGTCAATGATAGGGAACTCATAGGAGGCATGCGTCTTTTGACGCCTACATACCATAGGTATTTATATTATCAATATAATATATAAGCAGGGTTGGGCAAGATACTCAAAAAAAAGTATCATGATACATGATACATGATACATACATTTTGTGTATCAAGATACAAGATACAAGATACATTGTGAATGAAGAAAAGATACAAGATACAAGATACATGTATCTTTGATACATCAAAGATACATGATACTTTTATATTTCCAATCAAATTTTATTAATTATTAAACGTAAAACGTCTATACACAATTCACTATACCGTCTATACATAATAAATACATAATATTATTATTATACCTACATAATAATAGTATTTATAAATACTTATAAAGTCATAATTATATCAAATAATATAATAAGTCAATAGGTACACTGTACACATTATAATATAATAAGTCAATAGGTACACATTATACATTTATAACTAATACATCACATTTATAATATAAATACACCAAAATTAAGAAAGTGCATAACAATATACCTAAACGGTTACACTCATATCTAGACAGCGGATTCATATTTTATGAGACTATTGATTATTGACACGGTCTGCGTGTGGGCTACGGTCATACGGGCGCCTTAATTTAATTTTATGTTTATCAGATTATCTTAAATTTATAAGATTGTGTGGTACATTTTTTCGCTATCGTTAATATTTCGGCTGGATTGCACCTGGACAATATTTTTCGTACAAATACAATCCGCGACGAAATTATTTTTACAATAATAGTATCTTGTATCTTTTGGCAAAAAAAGATACATGATACTAGTATAAAATGTATCAAGATACATGATACTTGATACTGTAAAATTATGTATCATGATACAAGATACATGATACTTGATACTGTAAAATTATGTATCATGATACAAGATACAAGATACAATTGTATCTTTGATACGTATCTTTGATACATGTATCTTTGATACTGCCCAACCCTGTATATAAGGGGGAAATAAGGGGAAAAGTGTCATACATTACAGAGTACTACACGTGTGTGAAGTTGGGGGACTACGGCTAGGGGACTATTTTCTCGGACGATTAGTGATAACAGGCCTTGTATGCCCGGTTGCGTTTTATTATATTCAAGGAACTCACCAAATGTACAACCATCAACCACAAGATGGCGCCATGAAATTCACCTACATCATTATGTGCCCGTATATTAGTGCGACCGAACAGCCCAGGGGACTATTTTTTCGTACTGCCTAGGTACGATCAAGCGTTCGGTTTTTAATTTTTTTGACCAAGTTCCGGAAGGTGGCGCCGCATTAAACCTATATATTCGGAAAGCCAAGAAAATTCTCTATAAGACGTTTATACTTTAAAAATGTTCAAAGCTTTCGGGGACATAGTAATAAGCAACCGAACAGCCCACTATTTTTTCGTACTGCCGGGTGCAAGTACCTATGCGCCGTTTTTAATTTTTTTGACCAAGTTCCGGAAGGTGGCGCCGCATTAAACCTATATATTCGGAAAGCCAAGAAAATTCTCTATAAGACGTTTATACTTTAAAAATGTTCAAAGCTTTCGGGGACATAGTAATAAGCGACCGAACAGCCCAGAGGACTATTTTTTCGTATTGCCTAGGTACGATCGGCCGTGCGGTTTTTAATTTTTTTGACCAAGTTCCGGAAGGTGGCGCCGCATTAAACCTATATATCCGGAAAGCCAGGAAAATTCTCTATAAGACGTTTATACTTTAAAAATGTTCAAAGCTTTCGGGGACATAGTAATAAGCGACCGAACAGCCCAGGGGACTATTTTTTCGTGCTGCCGGGTGCAAGTACCTATGCGCCGTTTTTAATTTTTTTGACCAAGTTCCGGAAGGTGGCGCCGCATTAAACCTATATATCCGGAAAGCCAGGAAAATTCTCTATAAGACGTTTATACTTTAAAAATGTTCAAAGCTTTCGGGGACATAGTAATAAGCGACCGAACAGCCCAGGGGACTATTTTTTCGTGCTCCCGGGTGCAAGTACCTATGCGCCGTTTTTAATTTTTTTGACCAAGTTCCGGAAGGTGGCGCCGCATTAAACCTATATATTCGGAAAGCCAGGAAAATTCTCTATAAGACGTTTATACTTTAAAAATGTTCAAAGCTTTCGGGGACATAGTAATAAGCGACCGAACAGCCCAGGGGACTATTTTTTCGTGCTGCCGGGTGCAAGTACCTATGCGCCGTTTTTAATTTTTTTGACCAAGTTCCGGAAGGTGGCGCCGCATTAAACCTATATATTCGGAAAGCCAGGAAAATTCTCTATAAGACGTTTATACTTTAAAAATGTTCAAAGCTTTCGGGGACATAGTAATAAGCGACCGAACAGCCCAGAGGACTATTTTTTCGTATTGCCTAGGTACGATCGGCCGTGCGTTTTTTAATTTTTTTGACCAAGTTCCGGAAGGTGGCGCCGCAATAAACCTACATATCCGGAAAGCCAGGAAAATTCTCTATAAGACGATTATACTTTGAAAATGTTCAAAGCTTTCGGGGACATAGTAATAAGCGACCGAACAGCCCTGAGGACTATTTTTTCGTACTGCCTAGGTACGATCGGCCGTGCGGTTTTTAATTTTTTTGACCAAGTTCCGGAAGGTGGCGCCGCATTAAACCTATATATCCGGAAAGCCAGGAAAATTCTCTATAAGACGTTTATACTTTAAAAATGTTCAAAGCTTTCGGGGACATAGTAATAAGCGACCGAACAGCCCAGGGGACTATTTTTTCGTGCTCCCGGGTGCAAGTACCTATGCGCCGTTTTTAATTTTTTTGACCAAGTTCCGGAAGGTGGCGCCGCATTAAACCTATATATTCGGAAAGCCAGGAAAATTCTCTATAAGACGTTTATACTTTAAAAATGTTCAAAGCTTTCGGGGACATAGTAATAAGCGACCGAACAGCCCAGGGGACTATTTTTTCGTGCTGCCGGGTGCAAGTACCTATGCGCCGTTTTTAATTTTTTTGACCAAGTTCCGGAAGGTGGCGCCGCATTAAACCTATATATTCGGAAAGCCAGGAAAATTCTCTATAAGACGTTTATACTTTAAAAATGTTCAAAGCTTTCGGGGACATAGTAATAAGCGACCGAACAGCCCATGGGACTATTTTTTCGTGCTCCCGGGTGCAAGTACCTATGCGCCGTTTTTAATTTTTTTGACCAAGTTCCGGAAGGTGGCGCCGCATTAAACCTATATATTCGGAAAGCCAGGAAAATTCTCTATAAGACGTTTATACTTTAAAAATGTTCAAAGCTTTCGGGGACATAGTAATAAGCGACCGAACAGCCCAGAGGACTATTTTTTCGTATTGCCTAGGTACGATCGGCCGTGCGTTTTTTAATTTTTTTGACCAAGTTCCGGAAGGTGGCGCCGCAATAAACCTACATATCCGGAAAGCCAGGAAAATTCTCTATAAGACGATTATACTTTGAAAATGTTCAAAGCTTTCGGGGACATAGTAATAAGCGACCGAACAGCCCTGAGGACTATTTTTTCGTACTGCCTAGGTACGATCGGGCGTGCGGTTATTAATTTTTTTGACCAAGTTCCGGAAGGTGGCGCCGCATTAAACC